ACTGCCGGACCTGGGCCGATTTGAAGCCGGGAGCCAGGATCTTTTTGGGGTCTCCCCTGCAGGTGCAGGGGCCCAAACACTTGAACTACCTTCCACTGCTTTTCCAGATGCATTAGCAGGGAGCTGGATCAGAAGTGGAGCACCTGGGACTTGAACCAGTGCCCTTACGGGGTGCTGGTGTTGCAGGCAGCAGCTTAACCTGCTATACCACAACACTGGCCCATATTTTTTAGTTTTGGTTGTGAAAATACATGTTAAAAGTTATTAACGTCTAAGTTCTGTATTGCATCCCACAAGTTTTATTCTATTCTAAATTTGCATGCATAACTTACAAGAGTGTTTAACAGATTTTAAACTCATTTTTTTTTCTTGTTACTGCTTTCTCACTGAGCGGTATCAGTGTCACTGATGGAGACTGTGCCACTAAACCCTTTGACATGTGAGGCTGGCTTTGTGCCCTGCCATCTGATCAATTTCCATAAATGTTGCATGTGTGCTTGAAAAGAATGCGTGTTTTCTATGTACTGTATTTAACTCTCTTCACATGCTCAAAGTTCACGTCTGTTATTTATTCTCTTCAAATCTTCTGATTTCTGCCAGTCCACTCGATCTACGAATTACTTTGAGAGAAGTGTGTTCTTCCTTGTTTCACTGATAGAGTTTAGTAGGTCTCGCTCCGTTTTGTCTTATCGCAAGATGGATACATGCTCAGGCTGTATGTGTGTGGCGTTGGGAGGGTGTGTTGTTGGGAGCACACAGTGTAGACTGAGCTTCCTGATGGGATGAATGGTTTGTTATCAGGAGTGATTCCCTTTATCTCCAGGGGCGTTTTTGACTCTGGGGTCTACATTGTAGATTGTGTTTGCCTTGGCTTCTGTCATGTGTCTTGGCGTATTTGCTAACTCAGGACTAACTTTAGGTTCTGTATGTATCCTGTTTGCACATCTAGATCCTCTCCCTACTTCTTCCCTTTCTTGTCAGGTGGTTGATCACTGTGGACAGCAAGACCCATCCTCTTTCAGGGTCTGGCTTCTGGCTGGGGTTGGCCAATGAGGGGCCCCTTGCAGGAATGCAGAACGAGGAGATGAGAGACTTGGGGGGATTTATCTGTCTGCTCCTTTCCTGCAGCTCTGTGGATTAGCAAAGGCACCACCACAGCTTCAAGCAATTTCCTGCTTCCAGTGACTGCTCCTTGCCCATGTTCTCCTGGGTGCAGAGATAACGGCTTCCTGGTGCAGCCAGTCCCCCTGGGAACCCGTATCCCTGTCCCAGCTCTCTCCAGCTGTACTTGGTCAGTGTGCTCTTTGTTTTCCACTGGCCACTGTGAGTTGTGTTTCATTCTTTTACTTCCACCTTTCTGTGCTCTTATGTTTTTTTTTGTGCTTGTTTTAAATTTTATATATATATATATATATATTTTAAAGTCAGTTACAGAGAGAGGGAGAGATGGAGAGAGAGAGAGATCCTCCATCTGCTGGTTCACTCCCCAGATGGCTGCAACAGCACAGGGCTGGGCCAGGCCAAAGCCAGGAGACAAGCACTTCATCTGGGTCTCCCACGTGGTTTCAGGGGCCCAGGCACTTGGGCCATCTTCCACTGCTTTCCCAGGTGCCTTAGCAGGGAGCTGGATTGGAAGTGGAGCTTCTGGGACTCAAACTGGTGCTCATATGGGATGCCAATACGGCAGGCAGTGGCTTAACCTGCTTTGGGCACAATGCTGGCCCCAGCTTCCTTTCCATGTAGGCCACTGCCTCAACTGAAATATGAGAGCTCTTCAAAGAATTTGCAGGGAAATATTTATTATGGAAAGAAATATGCATGGATTTCAACATTTTTTTGCACCAAAATAAGCTTATTTTTAATTCAATTTTTCCATGAACAGTTTGGAATACTCATATTTGTTACCTTTTCTGACACTTCTACAATAGCTACTTTATTTTTCCATTGGTCTCCATGCCTTTCTCCCAACCTCTATTTTTACCCTGCCATCAAAGTGAATTTTTAGAAGAAAAGAAGATGGATCATATGACTGTCACACACGGAGTGAGGGGCATCTGGAATGCAAGGAACTTCACACACTGTAGATTGCCGCTGGGGTCTCAGCCACCCACAGCAAAATCTCCAGCCACGTCCTCTCCCCTCGGGGTATTCTGTACTTAGGCCACATTAGATTATCCATCATTTCTGAACTTTCCGTATGTATTGGCAGCTTCTTCCCTTTGCACGTGCTGTGATCCCACTTGGGCAGCCCCTAAAGCTCATGGTTAGGGCTAGGGTGGAGGCAAGTGTCCAGGTGTAGAATTCAAGGGGGCATCTGTCCTCCACATCGTGCAAGTGCTGTGGTTCTGCTCCAAGAACTGCTAATCCAGTAGTCAAGGCCGCGTTCATACGTTGCCTGTGTCCTTAGCACAGTGGAAAGACTATGTGGTAACAATTGTTATCTTTCCAAATTTCTAGAGAGAGGATTTTGAATGTTTTCAACACAAAGAAATGACAAAAGCTTGACAGTTTGAAGTGACAGATATGGCACTTACTCCAATTATTAAACATCACTTACATGTATTGAAATATGGCACTCCAGGGGTCAGTGTTGTGGTGGAGTGGGTAAAGTTGCCACCTGCAGTGCTGGCATCCCATATAGGTGCTGCTTTGAGTCCTGGTTGCTCCACTTCAGATCTGGCTCCCTGCTAATGCACCTAGGAAAACAGTAGAGGATGGCCCAAGTGTTTGGGCCCCTGCACCCACATGGAGAGCCAGAAGAAGCTCCTGGCTCCTGGCTTCAGTCCGGCCCAGCCTTGGCTGTTGCAGCCATTATGGGAGTAAACTAGAAGATTGAAGGTTCTCTCTCTGTCTCTCCCTCTCTCTGTAACTCTGCCTTTCAAATAAATAAAAAAGTCTTAAAGAATAGAAATATGTTATCCCATAAATATGCACAATAACTATGTGTCAATTAAAAATAAAAAATAAAATAGAATAAACTGCTTAGGAATAAATTTGAAAAAAGAGAAAGGGATTTAAGCTGTGCTGAATACCATAGCCAGGGGACAGGAACTGTTTGTGCACCACTGCAGCTTAGCATCCAGAACAGTACCTAGCACATAGCCTGTGTTTTACAAATATTTGGTGAAGACATGAATGAATGAGTAGATACTGAGCTTCCTGGTGGCAGAGAATAAGTCATGTTCTTCTATTGCTGCCATCTCGTAAGTAAATCATATTAGACTTTTTTTTTTTGGACAGGCAAAGTGGACAGTGAGAGAGAGAGAGACAGAGAGAAAGGTCTTCCTTTGCCGTTGGTTCACCCTCCAATGGCTGCCGCAGCTGGCGCACTACAGCTGGCGCACTGCGCTGATCCGAAGGCAGGAGCCAGGTACTTCTCCTGGTCTCCCATGGGGTGCAGGGCCCAAGCACTTGGGCCATCCTCCACTGCACTCCCTGGCCACAGCAGAGAGCTGGCCTGGAAGAGGGGCAACCGGGACAGAATCCGGCGCCCTGACTGGGACTAGAACCCGGCGTGCAGGCGCCGCAAGGCAGAGGATTAGCCTATGAGCCGCAGCGCCGGCCCATATTAGACTTTTAAAACATTTTTGTTGAGTGAGTGAATGAAGTGACTGGCCTATTTAGTTCTGTCCAGGACTTGGGAAATTTCTGAGTGAACCTTCCTCTTAAAACATACTTGTGGGGTCGGCGCTGTGGTGCAACTAGTTAAAGCCCTGGTCTGCAGTGCTGGCATTCCATGTGGGTACCAGTTTGAGTCCCGGCCGCTCCACTTTTGATCCAGCTCTCTGCTGTTGCCTGGGAAAGCAGTAGAAGATGGCCCAAGTCCTTGGGCCCCTGTACCCGTGTGGGAGACCTGGAAGAAGCTCCTGGCTCCTGGCTTTGGGTCAGCATAGCTCCATTCATTGCAGCCATCTGGAGAGTGAACCAGTAGATGGAAGACTCTCTCTCTGCCTCTGGCTCTCTATAACTCTGCCTTTCAAATAAATACATAAATCTTAAAAAAAAAAAAAACCCACTTGTTGCTTGTGCTGTGGTGCAGCTGGTTAAGCCACTGACGGCAGCATTGACTTCCCATATGGGCACCGGTTCAAGTCCCTGCTGCTCCACTTCTGATCCAGCTCACTGTTAACACACCTGGGAAAGCAGCAGAAGATGGCCCAAGTGCTTGGGCCTTGCACCCACATGGAATACCCAGAAGAAGCTCCTGGCTCTTGGCTAGTTTGGCCCAGCCCTGGCCATTGTAGTCATTTGGAGAGTGAACCAGCAGATGAAAGATATCTCTCTCTCTCTCTCTCTCTCTCTCTCTCTCTCTCTGTTGCTGCTTCTCTCTCTGTAATCCTGACTTCCAAATAAATGAATAAAATCTTATAAAAACCAACCCACATGTTGCCTGCTTGCTTCCAGTCTCCTCGTCCTGAGGTTTCCCCACAGGGTGTGGGTGCTGTTGGAGTGAGACTATGGGAACCTGCTGGCCTTCAAATCCCTGGAACCTTCAACCCAGAGGCTGATTCCACTTTCCTGAGGCAAGATCCAGGAATCCACATTTTTACAGAATCCTCATGTGGTTCTGGTAATTGATGCTGGTTCACTCCCCAAATGGCCGCAAAGGCATTATAGCACCAGCAATCTACTTGTGTTTTTCTAGTTATTCACATGAACTTCTAAAAGATTTACTTATTTATTTGAAAGGCAGAGTTACAGAGAGGGAGAGGCAGAGGCAGAGACAGAGAAGTCTTCCAACTGCTGGTTCATTCCCCAAGTGACAGCAACGGCTGGAGCTGGGCTGCTCTGAAGCTGGGATCCAGGAGATTCTTCCAGGTCTCCCATGCGGCAGGGTCCAAGGTCATCTTCTACTGCTTTCCCAGGCTTTCACAGAGCTGGATCAGAAGTGGAGCATTTGTGGCACAGCGGGTTAAAGCCCTGGCCTGAAGTGCTGGCATCCCATATGGGCACCAGTTCTAGTCCCGGCTGTTTCTCTTCCAATCCAGGTCTCTGCTATGGCCTGGGAAGGCAGTGGAAGATGGCCCAAGTCCTTGGGCCCCTGCACCCACGTGGGAGACCCGGAAGAAGTTCCTGGCTCCTGGCTTCAGATTGGCGCAGCTCCGGTCGCTGTGGCCATCTAGGGAGTGAGCCATCAGATGGAAGACCTCTCTCTCCGTCTCTACCTCTCTCTGTAACTCTGTCTTTCAAATAAAAAAAAAAAAATCTTAAAAAAAAAAAGTGGAGCAGCCGGGACTTGATCTGGTGCCCATATGGGATTCCAGCACTGCAGGCGGTGGCTTTACCTGCTGTGCCACAGTGCTGGCCCCCTCGTGTGAGTTTTTTAAGAATCGTGATTGTGGGGTTGGTGCTGTGGCGTGGTGGGTAAAGCAACTGCTTGCAGTCCCGGCATCCCATATGGACACCGGTTCAAGTCCTGGCTGCTCCACTCCACTTCTGATCCACTCTCTGCTATGGCCTGGGAAAGCGGTAGAAGATGGCCTGGGTGCTCGGGCCCCTGCATCTGTATGGGAGACCTGGAAGCAGCTCTTGGTTTCAGATTGGCTCAGCACCGGCCTTTGCGGCCATTTGGGGAGTGAACCAGCATATGGAAGACCTCTCTCTCTCTCTCTCTCTCTCTCTCTCTGGCTCTGCCTTTCAAATAAATAAATAAATCTTAAAAAAAAAAAAAAGTATAGTGATTGTGACATGGTGTAACCAGGCAGTTAGTTAAAGTTTAGGCGAGTTGGAGTTCTTGTATACCTGTAACGTGACCCTGTCCCTTTAACTGTTGATGTGATACACCCACCTTCCCAGGGTGCATCTCTCGCATCTGGGACCAGAGGCCTGCTCCATTGTGTCTCCAGTTGGGATACCACCTCTTTCCTTATAAAAAGAAGTGGAAGACAGAAGATGGGAGACGGCTCGCTCTCTCTGCCGGGACCCCGTCTGGAGGGCTGGAGACGCTGCTCCCATTCTCGCTCTTTCTACAACGGAACGCACTTGACCTATTGCTCTTGTTTGCACCTGGACGGCCTCCGATGGACCTGTCCCGCTGTCCTCTACCACTCCTGGACGGCTCTTCCCAATTACAGGTACTGTTTTTGGTTTTCCTTTCTCCTGGTTTATGAGCAACACTTTGGCCCACTCCTGTTTGGTATTTCTCAGTGAGGGGCAGCCCACACTTGCGCGTGAATGCCAAAAAAAAACCTGTTTCATTCGCTCACGATAACAGTCACTGCTGTGTGTTTCTATCTACCGGAAGTAAGAACCTGGGTTAGGACTGTGTTGTGGCACCGTGGGTTAAGCCACTGCCTGTGATGCCTGATCCCATATCTGAGTGCTGGTTCGAGTCCCACCTGCTCCACTTCCAATCTAGCTCTCTGCTAATGTGCCTGGAAAAGCAGTGGAGGATGGACCAAGTGCTTGGGCCCCTGCACCAGATGGAGCTCCTGGCTCCTGACTTTGGCTTGGTCCAACCCTGACTATTGCAGTCTTTTAGGGAGTGAACAGGGGATGAAAGATCTCTTTGTCTCTGCCTCTCTCTGTCACTCTGCCTTTCAAATAAATAAAATATTATTTTAAAGAACCTGGATTAAAAAAATCAATATATTTATTGCCCACATCAATTGCCATCAAGATTCCAGGATCATGAGTATTTTAAAGAGATCTCCACAACTGAGTATTTTAAAAATACCTCCACTATCCTGAAAGTGTGCAGTTAGAGCATAAGACACAACCACAAATGCAATATTTGTAGGGTTCACAGTGAATTTCTGTTTCATTTTCTGTCTTCTGGAAGATTCCAACACCATCCCAGAGATTATTGTTCTGAAAAGATGGACCGGAAGGTGTTGACCACTAAAGAAACCCAAAAGGAGGGAAAAATCAAACTTAAATTCCTTCCGGTTTCTCCAGGAGCTACCTTCCTCATCAGAGAATGGATTCTGAGAAGAACTGGGCTAGCTGGTGGAACGAAGGAGACTCGTGCCTGTTTAGCGTTAGCCTCTTGCTGTTTCTCAGTCCTTCCCGACATAGGTCAGAGCCGTCCATTGTATGCATTTGGAAATAATGGGTGTCATGCAGGGAGTGTGTTCCAGACATTCAAAACAATCCTTGGAAGTAAACACCTAACCCAAACCATCAGGAATTCTCAGTGAGAGACAGAAATAGCTTCTGCGGTCCCCACTGCTCTTTAATTGCTATTTCTACCATTTCATTATTCATCGTTTCTGCACAGTTCCCTCTGTGTATTTATTTCAAATGTGACTCCAGACGACAGGCGGAGTCTCTGCACTCCCCGGCGGGCGTGCACAGCCCTTCCTGCCCCGAGAAGCAGGAATTACATAACTTGTTTTCAATTATGCGGACTGAGGGGGAGTCACATGTTGGGTTTGGGGAGCTTCCAGGAAATAATTTTGAAGTGTTTATCTGAAGTTTCTCCAGACTTTCTTGATCTGGAAGTTAGACAGGAAGCCTAGTAGAGAATTGAAAGAAACCAGGCTCTGGAGAGAGGGGTCTCTCAGGGCAGATCTCCCAGCAAGGAGGGTTCTCGGCTGGGATGCCCCCAGGTGCACCCCAGGGAAGCTAAAGCTCTCCTGGGACTCACGTGACTCAGGCACTACATTCACATTGATATTTACTACAATTTGCTGTTGTCTGTGGCTCCGGTTCCTGTTGCTGTGTAGCAGCTACCAGGTCATGTCGTGGTATGCACCATTTGATTTTGCTCGATTTTATGGGTCAGCAGTCTGCCTAAGTGCTTGTGGCTTGGATTGATGAACAGAATGAGCAGGTTAGTTAGGGTGGCTGAAATGAATTAAAAGAGTTGGCAACATAAAGAAAGTGTAATTTGTTAATTGTTTCTTTTGCTACTTGGTTTCACAGTCTTCTGGCCACCATTGTAGCACAGTGGGTTAAGCTGTTGCTTACAATCCCGTAACAGAGCACTAGTTCAAGTCCTGGCTGCTCCACTTCTGATCCAGCTGTCTGCTAAAGCAGCGAAAGCAGCAGATGATGGCCCCGGTACTTGGGCTCCCGCTACCCACGTGAGAGACCGGGATGAAGTTCCCGGCTCCTGACTTCTCTCTCTCATTCTCTCTTTCAAACAAACAAGCAAATGAATCTTTTAAAACCAAACCAAGCCAAACCAACCAACCAACCAACCAACAACAACAAAATAAACAAACAGACAAACAAAAAAAAACCCCAAAAACTGAAATGTCTTCTGGTTACTTACAGACAAAAAAGGCCTGGATTAGGGCTGCCAGATAAAATAGAGGACATCCAGTTAACTCTGAATTTCAGATAAACAGCAATTTTTTTTTTAATACAAATGTTCCATGTGACATTTGGGACATACTTTATCTGAGTTTCCATTTAACTGGGCATCCTGTGTTTTATTGGCTAAGCCTGGCAACTTTAGCCTGAACTCTAGCCTCTGTAGGACTCAAGGAACTAAACTGTTTCTTCTTAAGATTTATTTGTCTGTATTCTCACAATGCCTGGCACAAAGTAGGAGCACAATCAAAAATTAATGTAAACCACTGAGATAAACAATGACAAGTCAGTTGAAGACCATCTGAAATGTGAAACTGTAGCGGGTCAAAATGGTGCGTCCTAATTAGCCATGATGAAAGATACTCAGTGTTTTACTTCTTCCACACATTGTCCTAGAAGCAGAACCCTGTGTATCTTTAGCCAAGCTGACTCAGAGGGAGGCTGGGAGATGCACTTTCCAGCCAAGCGCCTTGCTGCTGCCCCAGGAGACTCATTACTGAATAGAAGGAGAGGGTGGCTGGGGAGGAGTCTCTGCCCCAACCCACTGCAGTGCTAACCAGGTAAATATTTGTGTAGTTATTCGTGACTGCCCCTCACCATCCAGACTGCAGGCCCCATGAGGGTGGGGATATGGAGCATCATTGACATTTTAATCCTCTTCTTAAAATAATCAAAATAATCTAAAGTGCTTTTATCTTGTAATATTATCTGAGGAATAGAGGATTCTACAACATTCATGTTGGAAGCTTACTCCTTTTAATGCCTCCAATTTAAAAAGTTGTATATATTGTCCGACATGGGTGTTTGGCGTAGCATTTAAGATGTCAGTTAATGTACCCACATCCCCTATCCAACACCTGGGGTTGAGTCCTGGCTCCACTTCCAATTCCCCCTTCCTGCTATTGCAGATCATAGCAGGCAGCAGGTTATGGCTCCAGTAGTTGAGTTCCTGCTACTCCTGTGGGAGACCTGGATTGAGTTCCTGTTTTCAACTTCTCTCTCAATGCAGCTGGCTCTCCTTTGCATCTCATTATGATTTCCTGCTGCTCATCTCCCTTTATTTTTTATTTGAAAGACAGAGAGATATAGAGAAAGAGACAGAGAAATATTTTCTGTTTGCAGGCTCACTCCCCAAATGTCCATGACAGCTGGGGCTGGGCCAGGCCAAACCAGGAGCTTGGAACTCAGTTACAGTCTTCCACATGGGTGCAGAGACTCAAGTACTCAAGCCACAGCCTGCTGCTTCCAGTGCTTGAATGTGCATTATCAAGAAACCAGGATTGGAAGAGGAGTTGGGACTCAAACTCAGACATTCCAATATGGGATACAGGTATCCCATTGGTCAACTTAACTGCTTCGTCAAATATTAGCTCCTCCTTGTGCTTATTGACCATTGGCCCTTCCCTTGTGTACCAGTTCATTATCTCCCACACCAACACCATATACCAAGTCAGCTGTTTGACTAACATCACAGGGCCCCTCCTCCTTTGCAGGCTTTGTTGGAGGAAGGTGTGAGGCTGCAGTCTGGGTGCCACAGTGGCCTGCTTTCTGAGGTCAAGGGGCTTGCTGCTGTCCAGCATTCTTCCCTCAATGTGTAGGTGTCCTCGTTCATGATCCTTGGTGGTGTTTCCAAAAATTTTGTAATTTCTGAAGCCATCATCAAGCTTCTTTCTGTCTTCTCACTGCAGTACCTGTAACTCCCCAGCATTAACTACTACTACATTTTCTTAAAGACAGGGAAATCTTTTTTTTTTATTTTTAAATTATTTGATGTATTGAAAGGTTACAGAGAGAAACAGAGAAAGAGAAGTCTTTCATCTGCTGATTCACTCCCCAAATGGCCACAGTGGCTGGAGCTGGGCTGGACCAAAACCAGGAGCCAGGAGCTTCTCCTGGATCTCTCATGTGGGTGACAGGGACCCAAGTACTTAGGCCATCCTCTGCTGTTTTCCAAGATACATTGGCAAGGAGCTGGATTGGAAGTGGAGCAGCCAGGACTTGAACCAGTGTCCATATAGAATGCTGGCATCACAGGTAGTGGCTTAACCCACTATGCCAGAACACCCACTTCTAAGCAGGTAACTCTTCTATTTCCTATCACTGGCCTCAGTGTCTCTACAAGATTGCCAGTGAAATTCTACTCCCTATCTCTGGGACTTGAGAATTCCTCTCCCACACTGCCTCTGGGCTTACCCATGTGATTTGCTTGGCCAATGAGATGATAGCAAATGTGACGTAAGCAAAGACTTGAAAAATGGTTGCCCTCTTTTGCTGAAGGGACTCATGGGAAAAGCTTGACTAGACTGTTGGAGACACATAGTTCAGTGGACCTGTGGCACTTTGGGACTGCCAACACCAACTGTTGTGTGCATCAGCTTGGCCAACCTAGACTAGTTAGCACTTGCAGCCTGCTGCAGCCACAAGAGGGAGCCTTGGCAAGACCTTGGCAGAACTATCCACTGAGAGCAGTCTGAATTGCCAACTCCCCGCATTTTGTGTTAATAGGTTATTGCTGTCTTGAGTTGGGGTGACTTGTTACACAGCAATAGGTAATTGATGTACTACTGTCTTAGTTATCTGAAAGAATAACTCTGATCATATTGTCTTTCTGCTTATGCAACCATCCTGGTTTGCATGGGATCATCTTAGTTTATTTCTGTTGTCCTGGCATAGTAGTTTTTTTTTTTTTTTTACCATTTACTTTATTGTTTATGTTGCATATTCCAATGAATATAATGAACTCCTCTTTAAAAAGGCACATGAAAAGCCTTTGCAAGTTCTGTATTATTTTAAGGTTCCTATTGGCTAATAAAAG